CTTCTTTTGGGTTGGGAATCAAAGACCATCGAAACTTCGTCACTTCCATGATCTTAACTTGTCCTCCTCTCAATATCCTGTAGCACTGCCACCTCAAAAGTGACATCATCTCAACGAACTTACATCCTGTAGCGCAATTAATGACATGAGATCCAAAAGTTACAAAGAAGCACCTCGTAACTTTCATTAGTCCTCATGTTGTTGGTATGCCATTTCCTTTCTCCTAGAACCCTCCAGTGACTTCTATGATTACATTGATTGATCAACTATTTCAAGGTGAGTAAATCACCTTTGATGTCACTATCTTCTCTTTCACATTTCAGTTTTTTGTCCTAACCTACTATGCCAATGTAGATGACATTACACATTAATACAAAAACTGTTATGCAATATTTGGTGTTTTATTAGAATGCCATGACAATCAACCATTTCCTTAGCTCAACTCCTAGACACATAATAAGATAATCACCCCAATAAACATTGTTCTCTTCATTTAAACAAGGTTAGATGCGATGGGAGTCATGCATCAATCTCATTCTTTAAAAGAACTAGTGTAAATAATTTAAAATGAAAATTAAAAAATGCATAATTGAACCAGCAAGCATTTAGCAATATTCCCCATATCATGTTAAACATTTAAGTATCATATACTAAGGCATAATTTTCATGGGAAACCATCTATAGAAGTGATTTCATGAGAATACCTCCATCTTTTGAAGCATATCTTTTAACTTTTCTCTTCTTCGCCTCCTGGCATTATCATCTCCATCTCCCATTTCATCAGCAGCAAGTTTGTCGCTCTCAGCAATAAGTTCACCATTACAGCTTTCGCAGTGAAAATACTCATCAGTCATGCTTACAAGTTGCAGTGCATCAAACGCTGAATATCTGCACATTCATTTCGGCACGTCCAAACACTGAGAAACTTGGTATGAGTTTCAAACTTAAAACACTGCCTGATATCGTGGATACCTTCTACCACAATTAGGGCATATGTACTGCTGGATGGTATTCCTACTGTCCAATTCATCCTTTAACTTTTTCTTCATCCGATGCAATCTATACCTTACGACATCATGTATCTGCATCCACACTCATACATACAAACTGATTTATAAATAGCTGTAGAAGGAAATTCAATATAGTTCAATCTAGGAAATAAAAGGAGAAAAAATCAATGAATAATAATTCCAAACAAAATTTATAAGACAGACATTAAAGTGATATAAGAACAAAGGAAAAAATGAAACAATTTACATAAAGGAAAATCAGAATTTCAAGTCGGGTTTGATCATAAAAGTGAAGCATTATATTCAAATTCAACTAGAGAATAAATTCAGACTTAAAATTTCACTGTTAGAGGCCGAATTCAACAATCTAAATTCTACC